ATGATTATCATGGCCTGTACCATGTGTACTAAGGATAAGCAAAAAAAATTCTCTATCTGTTGATTATAGTGAGGTTTGACTGTATATTGAAAAATTTCTACAGTAAGTTCATCAAATGGAGACAGACAGGTTCACGGCTTTATTAGTGAAATCAACTTAATACTCTTTGCATCATTTATTGCAATGGATAGAATGTATAATCTTGAGGGAAAAACTGATAAAATACAATTTAGATTATAGATTAGAAACATAAGATAACAAGACCAAATCCAAATAAATAAATAGTGTGTGACCTTTCAGTAACAGCTTTGTAACCATCATCAGACAAAAGTACTGAATGATAATCAGTACTTTTGTCTAATGATGTTAACAACACTCTTACCAAAACCACTGCTATTTATTTATATTTAGCCTTATTATGTGTTTCTTGAGGGAAACTATAATAAACAGGATGTCTCTGATGATAAGGCACAATTTGGATTATAAATTATAAACACAAGGTAATAAGACCAAATAAATAGTGTGTGATGTTTCAGTAACAATGTTGTTACAGAAACATCACACACTATTTATTTGGATTTGGTCTTATTACCTTGTGTTTAGTATGTCTCTGATGTTTTTTTTTTTATAAGCTGAATATCATCAGGCAGAAATAATAAGCACAGAGAGTGAGTTGGTGTCTCAACTAGAAACTACTGGGAAACCTGCCAAGACCTGCCACCACATGTAGTGAGTGTACTCTCAATAATGAGATAGGTGTGATGGAGCACCTCAGCTCATCTTTCACTGACATCCCTCCATCTTATGGACCTTCAAACTAACTTCACACAAGCTATCAAAACCAAATACTGTAGAATCTCTCCTTGAGAGGACACACTTTCTATTGAGAACACCTCTCTACAAATGACAGTTTTCATCACCAAAATTACCATTTTTACTAATTGGCAACTTTCAGGTAAGAGGACACCTCTCTCTAAAGGACACTTTGACTCTGTAACTAGGTATTGTTCATTACAGAGAGGTATCACTATACTGTAAAGCCTCTCAAATATTTTTAATGGTTTTCCTTTTAGAGGAGAACCTCCATGAGAGGACACCTCTCTATAAATTATATAATTAGCAACTCTCCAGTAAGAGGACACCCTCCCTAAAGGACACTTTGGCTCTACAACTAGGGGTTGTCCTTTACAGAAAGATTTCACTGTGTACTGTAAATCCTCTCAAATATTTATTATGGTCTGTTTATTATAGATCTCCTTTTAGTGAAGACCCTCCATGAGATGACACTCACTAGAGGGCACCTCTCTATAAATTATATAATCAGCAACTCTCTAGTAATAAGACAGCCTCTCTAAAGGACACTTTGATTCAACAATTAGGGGTACCTATTAAAGAGGATTTCACAGTTTTACATGTCAAGATTGTTGATCCCACTCTTAAATCCACTGAAAAAAAAAAAAACTTGTTTATTAAGGTTATCTTGTTATTGAAGCCTCTAGGGTCTTCAATGGAACTGAGGTCTGAGAGAAACTTCCAATAACAAGATAATCTTAATAAACAAGTTTTTTTTTCACTGGATTTAAAAGTGGCACCAACAATTTGGACATGTAAAACCGTGGAACCTTAAGAACCTGTGGAATACCTCAAGAAAGTGTTATTTTGTTTTTGTAACAACATTATACCATCATCTTCTTCTTCTTTCTTATCTCCACTCACACATATTAGGGTATCAAGTTGTGACCCTTGATGGTGTCTGTTTGACAACCATCATGAGTGGGTGAAGTAGAATGCCTCTGCCTTTGTCATTAAGACTGGGAGCACTACTCAGTGGCAGGCCAACTTAGCTCCGAAAGAAATGGCCGCCTCTGACATGAGGAACAGACGCCATGTGCAGCCGCTCCTAACATGGAGTACAAACGCTGCTCATCCTGTATCCCTGGATTAGGAGCCCTTACAGGGTACTATCAGCCGAGCCAGCTGAGCCCAGGTTTTTTAGCGAGCTTGTTACTGCTCCCCCTTCTCCTTTTTCCTTTCTCCTTTGTCCCATCATGAGATTGCTAAATCTGACTACTCCAAGTCTAAGGATTATAATCAAATAAGAACACTTCCTAATCATACAACTGAATGTTGCTGATGGTCCACTGCCATCTATCAAAGGATATTTTAACCATCAGTTGATAAGGTGCAATTTGGATTATAGATTAGAAACACAAGATAATAAGACCAAATCCAAGTAAATAAATAGTGTGTGATCCCACACTATTATTTATTTCGAATTGGTCATATTATCTTGTGTTTTTAATCATCTGTTGATTTTAATTTTTGGATAGATGGCAGAAGGCCAATAGCAACATTATGTTGAATCATCAGGTGTAATGTCCTTATTTGATTAGAATGCATTTCCCTGATCCTTTTAATCTTTTTTCTACTTTTAAACATTTTTAATAATAAGTCTAAGGATACAAAGTAATAAGACCAAATCCCAATAAATAAATAGTGTGTGACGTTTTGGTAACAACAGTTTTACCAAAATGTCACACACTATTTATTTATTTGGATTTGGTCTTATTACCTTGTGTTCATAAACTATAATCCAAATTGTGGCTATAAGTCTAAGGATGTTAACAATGCTGCATTACTTAGAGGTCATATAGGAAAAAAACAATTTTGAATTTGCACTTGTTACCTTGTGAATTTATCTTATAGTCCATTTTGGTACCTTGTCAAACTTTCATCTCAATAAATATCTTCCAAACTTTTACTTTAAATAAAAGACATTTGTAACCAGAACAACCAACCTAAATAACTACTTTGGTCATTTCTCAGGAGAGCATTTTCACCATAAAGATACATTTTCCAATAAACAAGTCTATGTAAGATTTTGGCAACAAAATTGTTACGGTTATCAGATGAGGACAAATCCTTTGTGAAAGTAAATGGTTGATTTATCTTGTAACTAACAAAATTAGAAATTTAAATTACCACTTCAGTTTTATTTGCTCTTGAGCTGGTCCTGGAATCCACTCGTGCCATTCTTCTTTATCTTGAGCTCTTCTCTTTATTTCTTCTTAGATTCCCATCCAGGTCACCAAAAAGTCTAATTGTGGTAAAGGTACTTATCTCCCTAGACCATGTCTCCACTCTAGCTTTGATATGTTTGTCTTCTTCTTCTTTCTTATCTCCACACTGGGTGAAGTAGAATGTGTCTGCCTTTATCAGATATGGTAGTTATGGTACTCTGGTTAATTATGACAGAATATGATCTGGAGAGGAATCTAACTCTTCTTTCAACCATTCTCTTCAGATTTTTAATTGTTGTCCTAACCATTTTGTGCCACACAAGGCACCAAGGTTGATGAAGGTCTATTGTTTACTATTGGACGTAATGAACAGTTGGGCTTGTGGACCTTTGGAGTACCATGTATATTGGGAAGTTTGAAAAATTATGATGCACATGTTCCCCATATATATAGTCTCCAAAGATCCACAAGCCTAACTGTCCATTATGCCTAATAGTAAACAATAGACCTTCATTCTCTTTAGAGTCATTTTACCCTCCAGAACTTTATTCATGAATTCCTCTTTTTATAGTGGATGTCCCCATCTTCTTGTGATTATTACATGTGTTGTCCTCCCAATCTTCTCAAGACTTCTTCATTACTCATCCTATCCATCTTATTCTTTTCCAGACCTTTCTTCATTAATTCCTCTTATTATAGTGAATGTCCACTTGCCCCCATCTTCTTGTGATGACATGTGTTGCCCTCCCAATCTTCTCAAGACTTCTTCATTCCTCATCCTATCAATCCATCTTATTCTTCTTCAGACCTTTCTTCATCAATCTCTATAAATGATTATTACTTTAAGAAAAGAGGCATCTCCTAATTGTGCAACTCAAAGTTGCTGATGGCTCTATCAGAATAAATATTAACTAATTGTTGAATTTTATTCATTCCAGAATTAGCCAAATACCCTTTGTCTTTGATTTAATAAAAAAACGGTATTTTGCCAATTCTGGAATAATTAAAAATCAACAATTAGCTGATATTTATTCTATTAGATGGTGCAAGCCATCAGCAACTTTTAGTTGCACAATCAAGAGATGCCTTTTTTCTTAATTTATATAGCTGATCCAAGTACAAATTATTACTATTGTTGTTACATAACAAGGTCACAAACACAAGGTAATAAGACCAAATCCAAATAAATAAATAGTGTGTGACGTTTCGGTAACAGCGTTGTTACCATCTTCAGACAAAAGTACTGAATTCAGCAAGCATTCAATACTTTTGTCTGAAGATGGTAACAACGCTGTTACCGAAATGTCACACACTATTTATTTATTTGGATTTGGTCTTATTACCTTGTATTTATAATCTATAATCCAAATTGTGCCTTATCAATAACAAGGTCACAAATAGTTTTATACTGCGGTGTGTCATCACTTATCATCAGAGGTGAAGACACCGCCAGTATAAAGTTATGGAAAGCTATCCATGACCTTGTTATGTAAAAACAAGGTAATTAATTATATACCTTCTAATAAATGGCTTTGTGTCTGGCCTAGATGTGGTTCACCTTGTAGCTCCACATTTATATAAAAAAGAAGGTGTTGTCCTCTCTCTGTGACAACAGGGCGGTGTTCATTTACTGACACAATACTTCAAATAATTTAATAGTATGTAAAGCACAATTTGGATTATAGATTATAATACAAGAAGACCTAATCCAAATAATTTATTAGTGTGTGAAGTTTCGGCAACAACATTGTCACCATCATCAGACAAAAGAATAAATGAGAAAAAATATCACAGCAAGTTCTTAAATAGTACCATTAACAGTACTTAAACAGTACTATTTAAGAACTTGCTGTGATATTTTTTCTCATTTATTCTTTTGTCTGATGATGGTGACAATTTTGTGGCCGAAACATCACACACTAATAAATTATTTGGATTAGGTCTTTTATTTTCTTGTATTAATAGTATGTAAAAAAAAGACGTCCAATGTGGGACTCGAACCCACGACCCTGAGATTAAGATTCTCATGCTTTATTACCGACTGAGCTAGCCGGGCTTTAATAATAATTATTAAATTATTTGGATTAGGTCTTCTTGTATCTAAGGGCAGTAGAAATTGTTTTATTTTTAAAAGAATCATATGTGTCTCTAATAGTTTCGTATTTTCATAAAAAATATCTTATTTTAGTCTGCATGTATTAGAGATATATTTTGTTTTTCCTTTGTTTTCAAAAGGGGTGTAAATATATTAGTCAAATATTGCTCTTCTAAGGAATAATAAAAAGGAAATACAATATAATGCGGCTTATGATTGTAAAACGACATTTTAAAATTATCCCGCATGTGTTTCTTTTGAACGAAAAATCAAAATTTATCCAAAGGGGAAATAATTGGTTGGAAATAATCATTATTTCTCTTTTGGATAAATTTTGATTTTTTGTTCAAAAGAAACACATGCGGGATAATTTTAAAATGTCGTTTTACTAAAAGGAAATAATTTATCAAGAAAATCTGTGAACTAGGTCCCTTTTCATTTTGTTTTGTTTAACATTTAAATATCAATCTTTATGGAATTACCAAAAAAAAAATCTAGTAAAAATATTACATGCATGACTGTGTATGTTTGACATCACATCTTAAAACTTAGTAAATACAATAGAGAGCTGTCTGTGAGAGACCTGAGCCTAAAAATACCTGGTCTCCTAAAGCTGGTCTTTCAATCAGAGACTCACTCTATGTCAGGCCAAATCATGAGGAGTCTTTCAACTGAAACAGTTGAGAGACTTTAGACGATAAAAACATGGCGAAGGAAGACAAGTTTTTTTTATTGATGCATTAGAGCAAGCTTTCGGGCAAAAGCCCTTCAACAGGTAAGATAAAAAACGACACTACACTGCTGCCTGTTAAAGGGATTTTGCCCGAAAGCTTGCTCTAATGCATCAATAAAAGAAACTTGTCTTCCTTCGCCATGTTTTTATCGTCTAAATTCAATCCAGGAAGAATTCTTTATCTATAGTTGAGAGACTACCTCCTGGAGAAACCAATATCATTTTTAAGGCACTGGTTTCTCATGGGAGGCTCTAATGTAGCATCTATAATAAGGTAGAATTTTTGTAATAAGCAACTACTTTTGTGACATTAAAAAAAAAAGACTTCCTGACCTGATCCAACATTCAATGTATAACTACCTCCAAGAAATATTAGAAGTCAATATATTTTTATCAATCTCTCTTGGGACGTATGTTGCAAATGTGAAGTTTTTCTTAACCTAGAGGAGAGATACCTCTCTTACAAAGGACAGTTTTCATTGCCAAGAATTACCATTTTTAATGGGGGGGTCGGTGGAAGGCTGGTTGAACCGTTTGGTTTTCGACCACTACGACCCGAGTTCGATTCCCGCATTGGACACTTTTTTCTGATAAAAAAAAAAAAATGCTCCAATGTCCCCCGATTCTTGCAAAATCCAACCCCACCAGCGAGTGCAAGTAACCAAACGGGGCTCTGGCACATTTGTAAGTGCAAAGTCGAACTGCTTTTCACATGTGTAGACATGTGGTGCGCTTACAGTAAAAGCAGTCGCTAACTACCCACCATGATTATCATGGCCTGTACCACGTATACTCTGAGATAAGAAAGAAGAAGAAGACCATTTTTAATATTTAGCTGCTCACCTGTAAAAGGACATCTCTCTCTCTCTAAAGGACACATTGGCTCTGTAACTAGGTAATGTCATTTAGAAAGAGCTTTTACTATACTAAAATATCATTAATGATAACATTAACACTACATCAAACTTAAATAAATTGTATCAACTTGATTTATATCTATGTGGTCACAAGGTAATAAGACCAAATTCAAATAAATAAATATGTTTATAATCTATAATCCAAATTGTGCCTTATCTATGTAGTGAGTGTAATTATAAATTCTTTCATTTATAAAACAACATTTAAAATTATCCGCATGTGTTTCTTTTCAATGAAAAATCAAAATTTATTTAAAGGAGAAATAACAATTATTTCTAACCTTAAAGATGAGGTATGAAAGGATGAATTGTAAAGAGTAATGATAAACGGAAAAATAAAAGTGTACAGGGATGGGAATCGAACCCACAGTGTTCCGCTTATCGAGCAGATGCCATGTCCACTAGGCTACCCTGGACATATTTTTCCCGTTCGTAAATAATACATAAAGTCATTTATAATACAATATAATATAATGCAGCTTGTGATTGTAAAACGACATTTAAAAATTATCCCGCATTAGTTTCTTTTCATTTATTTCCAAACATAAATGATGAAGGACAATTTGGATTATAGATACAAGAAAATAAGACCTAATCCAAATAATTTAATAGTGTATGTACACACTATTAGTGTGTAGTTACACATTATTAAATTATTTGGATTAGATCTTATTTTCTTGTATCCAAACATTTCTTTCAACCTGGAACAGAGAGAAATATACAAAATGTTGATGTGAAACCTTTGTGTTGGAACAGACGGTGTGGGGCCTAGGAAGACATTTTTTTTTAATTGGAGAGAGACGAGTGCCTTTCCATTCATCCCAAAATACAGTTGCTTAAGTCATTTGGACATTCTGCCAACTTTTTTTGTCTTTGTTTGTTTGTTCATTCCAACTTCCTTCCCCTTCCCTCATCCCGGTTGCTGCTACAAATAAGAAACATTCCTTTTTTATTTAAGAGTTACTATTAAAAATTTTTCTCTAAGGAAAAAACCCCTTTTTTTCCCCCTTATTATCTTCCCTCTCTCTTTTTTTTCAGTATTTTTACCATTTTATTTATGATGCATTAGTGCGCCATCTGTTATGAAAATTTGAAACTATAATAGACGTGTATGATTCTTTTAAAAAAAATTAAACAATTTCTACTGCCCTTACTGCAATGGAAAAATTAATGGAAGGGCTTGGCTCATCAGTGGTGAACCCTCCCAGCGGTTTCGCCAGTTTAATGAGAGGGTTCACCACTGATGAGTCAGGCCCTCCCATTAATTTTTCGATTGCAGTAAGGGCAGTAGAAATTGTTTAATTTTTAAAAGAATCATACACGTCTATAATAGTTTCGAATTTTCTTTTTACCATTTTGTTATTTGCATTTTAGCTTCTTTTTTTTTGTGTGTAAAACAACTTATCTTCCTAAAAGATTGGCTGCATTCTGGAATATATATTTTTTTACTTATCTCAATTATAGATGGTACACACAGATCATGATAATAATTATGGTTCACCAATATACGTTCATCTCTGACTTATAATCTACTAGCCGAATGACCCGGGTAACACCCGTGTTTTACCCGATTGAATGTTTTGATTCAAATACTATTTGTTACAATTATAAATTGGCGCCTTATATAAATGCATATGTTAGTTAATAACTATAGCCTATGTGCTTTATCTGTCTATGTACTGTTGGCTTCCGTAGGCGTCTTTTACTGGGAAAAAGAAAGAGAGGATTCCATTTGGTTATTAACTAATATATGCATTTATTTAAGGAGCGACCCGCTCCAACACAATGGTTACAAAAACGAAAAAGCGAGTGGTGGGGGGGGGGGGAACAAAGGTGGCGTGATCGTAGCCAACCAATAGGAGGGCGCCATTCCAAAAAAAAAAGCAAACGGTGACAGAGATGACTGATGAAGAATGACGCTCGTAACTGTATATAGAATAATATAAACAAACAATCCAGGGGTAAATATAAGAAAATAAGACCTAAACCAAATAATTTAAAAGTGTGTGACGTTTGGTAACAGCATTGTTACCATCATCAGACAAAAGAATAAATGCTATTTTCTTATATCTATAATCCAAATTGTGCTTTATCAATTCAGGGGTAAGTTTTACCATTTTTATTTCTCTAGCTTTTTTAGCCAAACATTCCTTTGAACAGGAGTACCTAGAAGTACACCTATCCTCCGATTTACACGGTAGATACGTTCCTGAGAAAAGCGTGTAAATCGGGGGATAGGTGTACACAGAAATAAAAATAAAATGCATTGACAGGTTAAAATATGTAGTCAGCATATAAGCTTGGGATTCCTCGTGAGATGTGTACACAGCGCATGTGTTCAATCACAGTAGCATTTAGTATAGTGTGATAAAAATAAAAAAATAAACTTATTTGGAAAACCATGTAAAAGCGAAAATGTGTAAAACAAGTACCGTGTAAATCGGGAGATAGGTGTATTACTTCTATGTATTGTATAGTTAGCTGGAAGTTATACTTCTAGGTTCTTCTATTGAAGGGCATGTTGGCCTGGAAGCTAGAGAAATAAAAATGATGAAACACAAAGTAATAAGACCAAATCCATATACAGTAAAACCCCTCTATAGTGAACCCCAATGGGACAGAGCTTTTGGTTCACTATAGCCACGGTTCACTATAGCCACGGTTTGGCCATTTTTTTTACTTTTCAAAATTTTTAGACCGTATAATTAAAGGACAGCCATACACACTGGAAGAGGCTTCCTCTTAATAGTGGTCACTTTGTTTTAATTCCCTTTATTGACCAATTTCCTTACATTAATACTGAATAATAATAGAAATCATTAAATGATAGGTTCTTCTTATCATTAACATACATGTACCTCTATGTCTAATTTAAAAATCAAGACAAATCCTAGGCAAAGTTTTATTAAATATATATTCAAAGATATAAAATGATTTTAAAACATCATTATCACATTATATAATACATTGTTTACTTGGAAAAATGGCTCTAACACCTTGTTGCTTCAAAGCATTTTCAAGCATTGCACCATTCAAATAAAGTTGGTGTTTTTCTTCCATTTCATTTTCCCACATATTCTTCTAGGTCTAGATTTTATTTTTTTAATCTTATCATGCAAAACATTGCTGACTTTAAAATCACCATAGTTAATGGCATAAAAATAGTTTTGTTTGATCACGGGACCATTTATTTGGATTTTTTTTTTAGCGCTAAAACGTACGATCGCGATCGCGGCAAAAGTTGAGGTTGATTCCTCTTTGTAACAATTTTTAATGGCTTTAACCCGTAATTACTGGCGTTCGGCTTGAAA